CCTCGTATTGTGTCTCTCTCTCTCTCTCTCTCTCTCTCTCTCTCTCTCTCTCTCTCTTTTTTTCCCGTTTTTACTCGGTATTTATCCACGTGTCGATATTTCTGTCTGCATGTTTGCCGTTCACCAGCCAATTTTGAGCCAACCTCAGGTTTGACGTATACATTGACATACACGTGCACGCATGTACACGCGCATAAGCGTTTCGTTTCTCTCTCTTTTGTTGTCTCGTATATATATATGAATATACGATGTTTTGGATCTTATGGTACGATTTTTTTCGTTCTTCTTCTTCTTTTTTATTTTTTCTTTTTTTTTCTTTTTTTTTTTCCTATACTTTGCTATACTTTTGTCGTTGATTATTTTCAAGGAGGAAGGAAGGTGAAAAAAATGAGGAAATATTTTCGATTTCCAATAATTCGTTTGCATAAGATATCGTTGATCGTTATACATTGAATTACATCAATGTTGGTTGGTTGATTGGAAGCTTGGAGCACAAGCTGTGAATGAAACTTGCACCATTTGCATACGACTTGAGTAAACGAAAAGTTTGCATGTCGGTTACGGATTGCAAGAACACGTGATGATGTTGATTCTGATGAACACTGAATGCAGGAGTATTCTGTTTACCGATCAATAAAAGTTAATCTATCAATGAATGATATTATTCTTGAATTTATTCTTTGACAGTTGCACGTTAGTTGTATAAACTTATACAATATTATAATGTACAATGTCTATTATTTTATCGAGATTAAAACTTTTTGAAAAACAAATTTGCAAATTGCAAATTTTTCCTGTTATGAAAAGAGACTCTTTAGCCTGGAATTAGCCTGGAAATTTTCGCTGCTGTTGAAAATATTTGCAATAATTTTCTTGCGTTTATTACAATTATATCGAAAACAATTGTTTTATTTATTTTGAAGAAGAAGGAAATTTAAGAGTCGAATTGGTGAAACGTGATGAATACAATGAAAATGAATACAATTTTATTATTTAGAAAAAGAAACGCGGAATCACCCTTCTCCTTCAAATTATTTGAATGCTTTAATTAAAATTCCTGAATTGACGCTTCGTTTTTCTTTTCTTTCTTTTTTTTTTTTCCCCCTCTCTGTTTTTGAGTTCCTGCATTATAATGCATCTTCTCTCCTCTGCAATGCGATCGACGTTCGAAATCCCAATTTTCAAATGTTAACATCCAACGGATCCTAAATCAAAGATCGAAGAAACAATGTGAACCGTTAACGATTAACAAAATATCGTCGATCGCATGATCGTTCATGTCAGCCTGCTTTGCAAGACGAAATTATATATTCCCAACGTGCACGTTTCAAACAACCGATCATCACAATGATAAAAATATGTTCTCAGGAAGCGGAGGTATTATGAGCCAAGCCGGTTCACAAGACGACGGTGAATACGAGGTGATAATCGTGGACGAGAACAACTCGTCGATCCTGGCGGATCACGACGTTACATCGTCGGGACCCCCATCGACCAAGGTAAGTAAACATCCTCCAACATTTCCTCGATCCAATTATTATACTTACTGTTATTCCGTTTACAAAACACCTTGAAACGTACCTTGTCCGTGCGAAAGATGCGTACATCGAGATTAATTGATCCGTTGTTCTCAGGTAAAAAGAAAAAAAAAAAAAAGAGAAAAGAAAAAGAAAAAGTAAATAAAATCTCTCCTCGACGATGAGTGAAAGTAATACGAAGCTAAGAAAAATTTAGATATATTTGTTATCTTCGTCGGTATATCATATTTTATTTATCAAAATATTTGACTCCTCGATGCTCGAGAAGATTTGTGACAACCTTACTTGAGATTGCATGCTTTTGATGAGATACAGTCGTGTTATCTTCGTTGTGTATCCATTGAACTCGATTATTTGATCAAACGATGCAATGATCGTTCCTAAATCATGATCTTGATTATATATATATATATATATATATACTGTGTTATATATTTTAGTACTTTACGATATTTTGATATTTGAATAGAGAATATTTACTATATTGCACCTTTCTTATCACGCACGATCTACCGTTAACGTGGAATTGGCACTCTACGCCCACGCGATGCGCTTTGCATTCGTTTATTCGACTATTTCCCGATTCTTCTGATCGTAGAATTCTTGTGAACTTAAATTCTGCGTATCTCTGTTTCAATATCTGTAACCTCGATGAACGAATAAACTGCATGCATAAACTGAGTGTTTAATAGTGTGATAACAAACAGTAGATCTTTAAATTCGTAAGTTCAATGGTAAAAAAAAAAAAGGAGAGGAGAAAAATTGCGTTTGAAAAATTATTCGATATCGAAATTTCCCTTCCAACTCGTTTCTCTTAGAAGTAGAAGTCTTTGTGAGAAGCTGAGAGAGAGAGAAGGCGTTACAAGTGAAAAGAATATTCGATTTGAGAAAAATATAGTTTGTCAATGACAAAAAAAAAGAAAAAAAATTAAAGATCGAGGAGGACAACTTTATGATGACAAATTTGAGTTTGATTTTATAAAAAGAATTCACTTGTAACGTCCTTCTCGATTATATCCTTGTAGTTACCAGTTATATAGTCAACTAGTCAACTGATTATCTAATTTGAAAGTGTAACAGTTAAATCTATATCCAGCACGTAGTGTTCACTTTTTACAATTAGCCAGATACTTCTTGTTCCTTTGCACTCACGTAGTCAAGAAATAATAGTGTCGACTAATTACACATAAATTTCGTTCTGGCACGTAAAATTCGCATAAAGTTTCCAATAATTGCGACGATACTACGAGAGTAACTCACCCTTAAAGCTCGATTCTAATGGATACCACACATCCCACACGATGATTTCTATCTGATTCTCGTATCTCTAATTCTTTCGAGCATGCGATACTTCTTTTTTTTTTCTTTTTTTTTACTCTTTAATTTTTCTCAACGTTAACTTCCTCTGCTTGCATTGCTATGCGTACTAACTACTGGTTCTGAAGGGAGGTCACAGTGGTGTACCTCGGCCACGGACAATTCTCGAGGATTACACCTCGTCAGAACCAACGCTTGGCTCTTCGACAAGATCCACTGAACCACTGCCACGAAATGTCCAGGTAAAAGTTTGACTTTGAGTCACAGGGCTCGGAACAGAATGACTTTAAAGCGGAAAGAAATTTCGAAAAATTGACAGTGAAATAATCTAAACGATCGTCTAAATGATCGTCCTTCATCGTTTTGGAAAGAGGAAATATATAAATATAAAATATCGTATCTGTACACTTATCCCTCGATTTACACCAGGTATATTTTGTCTCACAACATTTTATCCCTTTTTAATTGTGTAAATAGAGTTTATCGGAGGGAGATAGCGAAGTGGATGTATTTCATATAAATATTTATTTATTTCGCACAAGTCCACGCAAAAGTAAAATAAAAAACTTTTTTAAAAAAAGCAAAACGCCAAAAATTTGAATCGTATGCGGAAAAAACATTCGTCCAAACATCGAATGGAAAATTATATCGTCTATAATTTGAATGAACTTTTTTTCACTACTTTAACATGTGTAAAATCATCCGTGTAAATTTGTGCAAATCAAGGGATGAGCGAAACATAAAAATTTGTTTTCATCCGTCTAAAGCAAGAAGTGACGCAACGACGAATGAATGCCCACTCGACGGGTACGCAATAACTATAGAAGATAATAGGGGAATAAAATCGATTTCTGTTTCTGTATCGTGGCTTATCCACGATAATAATAATAATAATAATAATCTCTCTCGTACGTAGCTATATTTGTTGTTACGGTTATATGGAGAGTAATCGAGCGTAGCTATGATATTACGTTCACTGTGATTAGCTTGAAAATCTCTAGGAGGCTTTTAATTTTACTTGTTTACACGTTATATTTAGATGACTGCGTATTAGTGTTGTTACGATTAACTGCATGTCGTCGAATAAATGCATAGCACGCGAGACTTAATCGCAGGATATATCGTTTGACTCTCTTCTTCAAGTAAACGTTCTTAAGATTGTTACATATATACATAGATATTTACGATATTATTAAATAGTGTGTTCTACGGAAGCTAGGCTTTCGTTAGAAATATACAGTATTCAGTATAATTAAGTAGAGAAGTAGACGTAGTGTTGTTTAAAAATTGAAAGTAATGTTGTTGTTAAATACATTTTTTATTTTTCACGATGTATCTATTTACAGAGACATTGTTCGAACAAATATCGAAAGATTATAAGAAGGATTTTCTTAAAATTCAATATACATATACATATATACATATGATCGTACTGAATCGAAATATATTTTTTGTTTCTCTATTTTTTTTTTTTTAACTATACTGTGCAATAAGTTTAATTATTTTTTCTTTTTTTTTTTATGGAAAGTTTTTGGAAAGGATTTGTGAACACGCCTGTTACACGTGTGTTAATTTCATCCCTTTTAGAGTAACGACTCGAGCGAAGAAACGGTGCATCGTAGCAATATTACCGCGGATGTCAGTCCTTCCGAGGTTGCAACGGATAACGAGAATAAGCATAATTCCTCCGAGGAAGCATGGACCGACGTAAATTTGAACGAAGACGGAGACACGATCCCGATCACGAACCAAAGGGAAGACCCGCGAAACATTCACAACATGGCGCACTCTCGCGGTAAGTTCCGGAATTTCCATTTGTTCCATGTTCTTTCTTATATATCTTCCCTATTATCTTCCCTATCCTGGGATAACTAAATTCTACTCTGGAACAACGTTCAACCTGTTAAGATCAAAGATAAGTATCTATAAACTACCTGTCCAACGGCAGTTTTTCTCAGAATATTTAGTTCCAAATTCCAAACTGGCGATACCATCGCCAACTCTTTCCTTCTCTACGGATTTAAAAAAATTCAGGGCCCGCTCCTATCTTCTCGTTTAATTCCTCCCGATTTTTAATTCTCGACGCGGAGTTAATAAATATCGAACGTTCCATTAGGATCTTTAATTTGAAAGTTTTTGAATTTCGAACGCTCTATTCCCTCTATTTTTCTTAACTTGTTTGGCGAAGTTATTAAAAATCGAGATTCAAAATTTTTTAATTTTTTTGAATGTCCCATTAAGGTCTTTAATTTTTTTGGCAGAGAATTTGAAATTTTCTAAATTTCGAAATTTACTCTATTCCCTAATTTTATTCATAAATCTTTAACTTTTTTTGGCAGAATCACTGAGATTCGAAATTTTTTGATTTTCGAACGTTCCATTGGGATCTTTAATTTTTTTGACGAAGGATTTGAAATTTTCTGAATTTCGAACGTTGCATTCCCAATTTTATTCTTTAATCCTTAACTTTTTTGGCAAAGTCAAATTGAGATTCGAAATTTTTTGATTTTCGAACGTTCCATTAAGATCCTTAATTTTTTTGGCAGAGAATTTGAAATTTTCTGAACTTCGAACGCTTCATTCCCAATTTTATTCCTAAATCCTTAACTTCTTTTGGCAGAGTCATTAAAAATCTAACATTCGAAAATTTGCAATTTTGAGATTTAAAATTGCGAATTTGTTTGAGAAACAGGTGAAATTCAAGACAGCGAAGGGAACGTTCTGGAGCAAGGGATGATGGGGAACGCGGAACGCGGTGAGAAACCTTCCGGTGAGATCTCGGTGGTTCGCGTGTCGGACAGATTGGTGATGACTTCCGCGTCGCCACGACCCGATGAGTTACCGATCAAGGGACTGGTCGATCATCTTCCGGTCCCGACACCCTCGCGCGAGGCCTCGCTCACGCAGAAACTGGAAATGGCGCTTGGCTCCGTTTGCCCGCTTCTGCGCGAGATCATGGTCGATTTTGCCCCTTTCCTCTCGAAAACGCTCGTCGGCTCTCATGGGCAGGAATTGCTGATGGAAGGCAAAGGTAGGACTCGTAAGTGCAATCTGATCGACTGATATACTTATATATGTTTATCGTGAGTATGTCCTTTTTTCTTTTCAACTTTTAATACTTGTAATATATATATATATTTTATTATTATTATTATTTATTCGGAGTAGTATCTATTTTGTCCCTTCTTAAATATTTTAGGCTTTCGAGAATTGTATATCATTTCAATAGATCTCTAAATTAATTGGAAAAACGTTTCTTCCAAAGAAATTTGTACAATGGAATTTTTGTTCGATTTCGAATAGACTGAAAGATACTACGAAGGATTAATATGGCTAGAATATTACTTTATTATTTGTATTTATTAATTGTATTGTTGCTTTTATCTTTAGCGTGATAAGTATTCACATTATTATTTTGCACGAATTATTATTTATTAACCTCTCGATGCTGGACGACAAATCACGTTAGATGTAATCAATTTACGCTCAATAACGATAATGTTTCAATCAATTATCTAATTGTTTATAATTATTACGGATTTCTATTATGTTAAATTTCTTTGTTGCATTGACCAGTACATCAAGAGATTAATAAGACCCGGCAAAAATACAAGGTGTTGAAAAAAAGCAAGTTTCCATCTGTCTAACCAAAATTAATTCAACGAAAATTACTCCCAAAAAAAAAAAAAATAATCCTTTCTAACGAATCCTTCGTTTTCAGAATAGCAACGCGTAACACCGTCTGAACAAACGGACGTTAAACGAACTTTTATCAATCTACTCGCGATGCAGATTCCTAAGCCGCTTTTTATCAACACCCAACGCGTATACACCTCTCGTTTTATCCGTTGATCGCGGTGAATGTATTCAAATTAGTCGGTTTATGGTTTCGCTTAGAAAGATGGAACGCGTATACCGGGATAATCGTCGGGCATTTGTATTCACGCGACAGTGCCGCGTTCCGTGGCACTTCGCGAGGAATTTTATATTCGTGGAACGTCGCGGATGACGGCCGTGCCATGTATCGATGCACTTTTATTTTATGTTCTTTTTTTTTTTTAAAAAGAAAACAACGACTCGAAGCGATACATCCATCGTCGTTTATAAATCACCAAGCCGTCTATTCCTTTTCTATTCCATCTTTTTACAGTCTGTCGATGTCCCGTGGTATTTTACTTTCTAAACGAGTTTCTAAATCTAACCGTTTCTTTCGTTCTAAATCACTCGTACCATTGATTCGAGCCATGGTGTTGAGTTAAGAAGCGAATAAAAAAAAAGTTCGAGTTAATTATTCGTTTTAGAAATTTTCAAATTTATGGAATCGAAAATTTCATCGATCGATAAAATCTGATAAATATATATAATGATGTTTTTGTGAATTGAAAATCATAAGAATCTGAACGATGAAAGCGTATATGTAAAAAAAAAAAATATATATATCTTTCTAAACGTTAATATTAATCGATGTCATTTCACTTTGTTCGAAAAGAAATAAATGAATACGAGGATAATAATAATTCTTAACGATTCTATTTCCCTCAGGCCTAACCACGTTCAAAAACAGCAACTCGGTGGTGGAATTGGTGATGTTACTCTGCTCCCAAGAATGGCAGAACTCGTTGCAGAAGCACGCGGGCCTTGCCTTCATCGAGCTCATTAACGAGGGAAGGTAAGAAGGGCTTGTTACGATGATCGTTAGAACGACAGAGTTATAGTTGAAGTTAACAGTAAACGTCAACGCGAAAATTAAACGCAAAAATCATAAAAAAAAATTTTCGTTTACGCCACGCACAGGTTACTGTCTCACGCGATGAAGGATCATATCGTAAGAGTGGCCAACGAGGCTGAATTTATCCTCAATCGTATGAGAGCGGACGATGTGCTCAAACATGCCGACTTCGAGGTATCTGCCTTTTCTTAATTTTATATATACATTACTTTTTTTTTTTTTACTTTTTTAAATTAATTTACGATCGATGCATTGGATGGAGCTTTGTCATAACGATCGTACAAATTTGTTGGCTCAGTCGCAATGCGCGCAAACATTGCTCGACCGACGGGAAGAGGAAAGGATGTGCGATCATCTGATCACAGCCGCACGAAGACGGGATAACGTTATTGCTAGTAGATTATTGGAGAAGGTCCGTAATATTCTGTCCAACAAACATGGCGCTTGGGGATACATGGATCCAATGGCTGCAAAGTGAGTGTTGTTCTTTTCTCGTTTAGAAAAAAAAAAAAATAGGAAGATATTAATCTCCTTGAGATCAAATTTTTCTTGTATTCATACGGAAAGATATACTTGGAATAACGATAATAATAATGATAAATTATAAGACATTATTAGGTTTATTACGTTGAATTTCCCAAGATTTACGATGCAAATTGTGATTAACCGAATTTCGAAAGCTAGATGATAATAATGATACATATATCAATGCATCGTTTTTATAAATAATAATTCGGAATAAATTACAATAATGAATTACAAAGGAAGCCTCGATATCTCCAAATTTTTCAAAATCTACAGCGCAAGAAAAGATTTGTATTATAGATATTTAAAAAAGAGATTGCATCGGGGTTAGGTTGGCCGAATACTGGAAGCTAGATGCTTGGGAGGATGATGCACGTAGACGTAAGCGTTTCGTGCACAATCCACTAGGCTCGAGCCATCCCGAAGCTACACTGAAGGCGGCCCTCGAACACGGTGCACCCGAGGATGCGATCCTTCAAGCGCGTGAAGAGTTTCACGCGCATCTCGCAGCCTCGCGTGCACACCAGCAGCAATTGCAGTCGGCGGATCTGATGGACGACAGTGAGCTGTTGTCGGACGACAGAGACCTCGATAACGATCTGACAGGTTAGACTCTCCTCCTCCCATTTCGTTTCATTTCTCTCCGTCTCGTTTCGTTTCCTTCTCGGCTGTTGCACGCACGGAGCGGAACGGTGCCACCGTTCCCTATCGTTTAAATTACGTAACACGTGTGCGCGTTTATTTGCACGTGTGCATTGCACGTGTGTACGTGGTGCATACTCGGTACAACGAGATTGTATTCCTCCAGGCCCGGTGAACATCAGCACGAAAGGAAAATTGATCGCGCCCGGTATCGTGGCTCCTGGTATTATCTCTGTCACGTCCACGGAACTTTACTTCGAGGTGGACGAGGACGACCCAGAGTTCAAGAAGATCGACAGCGAGGTAAGTTTCTTTCCTTTCGTTAACCTTGAATTTTTTCATTACGAGTAATGAAGTTTTAATTATTTTTACACGTTCTATTAAATTATTCTCTAAACAAAATTGCAGTATAGTTTTTGAAAAAATGGAATAAATCGAATGGAATTTTAGACTGTGGAGAGAATTTAAATAGATACTTTTTCTTTTATTCTTCAAATATAATGCTTACTCTATTTTGAATATTTTGAGTCTGTGCAACCTGATTAGATTTTTACACAAGGAATAATACGTAGTCTGGTTGTTACGTATTATTAATTTTTAAAGAGAAAGAAAATACAGAATTGAAAGTGTACTTTCACTGAGCGTTAATTATACATGGGTCGGTCTTGACTGTAGAAATATACAGTGCTGCCACCAGAGCGCCATTTAAGGAGGACACACGTGATTAGATACGATTCCATACTTTATCGAGAATATTAAAGAGAGAAATGTTGAAACAAAAGATATCGATCTCCTGCGTTTTCCTTATTTTCTTCTTTTTGGATTACGAAATACAAACTAAAGTTCGAACAGTCATTAAGTTTGTCACTTTTCATGTTATATATTATACTTGTATCCTTGCTACATTTATCACTTGTCACACGCAATCTTAATGATTAATCATTGTGTCAGTTTCTCCGCGTTAAGATATCGTCTATTACATGCATTTGGAGCAACTTGTTGCGTTTGCGAAGCTATCTCTTTGAAATATGGTTACCGGTCGCTTGTGCAGATAACGTTCCCAGCGCTCTGAAAACTAGGACCACGCGCAGACCCCGCGCATTGCTCCCCAAACCGAGTCTTTTTCCAATTTTTCAAACTTTGCATATATCATTGAAGTATTATTGAAATCTTCCCAATTTTATCACAATTATACTCGCCCAAAATCATACTTTGAGTCGAAATTTTTTTGAAAATTGAACGAAACATAAATTGAAAATCGATTTATCTAAATTACATAACTCTCATATATTGGATTCTACGATCCTCAGACAAAGACAATTTCAAATAATACCAATTATATCTCAGTCTTTGACTCCAGTCTTTAAAGAGCCACTGTCGCAAATTATTTTTCATCAACGAAATCAATCAGATCACCGCAACGTTCATTTGTGATATACATCAAAACGTAATTCCACGATCCCCCACGAGAGAATCAATTTCACGATAAACAAACTTCGTACCTTTTTTTCGATCCTGCATCCTGCACTGGGAGCGTGGCCGATGTTAATCACATCTCGTGGAATAAATGCGAATTGTAAATGAAGAGACGTGGCGAAAGCTTCCACTTCTATGCCGTGGCTCGAATTGGTTCGGACGTGTCCCTGTCTATCAGGCTGCATAATGTAGTCACGTTCCGCGACGGTGGTCAACCGAGTGCAGAAATCGGGGGGGGGGGGGGAGAAGAAAGGCGGGAGAAGAAATGGAGGGAAAGAGATAAGGAGAGTCGGGCCCTGGAGAGAGAACTAGAGGCCGATTATCATATATCGGTCGTAGATCTCGCGTTTGTATAACTAGGGAATAAAACAAACAGAGGAGGGGCCCCATGGGGTCGGCCGATCTTCAGGGTCGGCAATTATGAGCCTCCCGCGGGGCCTCTACCTTGCCTGCTCTCCACTGTCTCTCCTTCTCTCGAAAGAGAGAGAGAGAGAGAGAGAGAGAGAGAGAGCTTCGTTCAAGCTGCATCCACGTACTAAGCATACGCATAGGTGAGCATACGGATCCCCAGGAATGCATACCACCACCGCTCTCTATCCACCGCCTATCTAGTAACTATTGCACGTCTGCCGCAGACATCCTGTTTATGCGATCCCTCCTCGCGATCCGATTGGAATCGATGGGATCGAGGAATCTATCTGGTCCGCGTTTATTTATTGGAAACGAATTTTGCCAATGTATTTATGGCGAAAAAATTGGAGGAATAATAATTCTTTTTTTTTTTCGAGCTTGAAACGTGGAACGAAGATGGTAACGAAATGAAAAAGGGAACAATGATAAGAGAAGATGATATTATATGTGTCTTTTAGAAAAAAGGAAAAGGCTTTTTCATTCATTGTTTTTAAAGCGTAGTCTTGATCCATGGTAGAGATAATTTTTTCGCGTCCACTTGTCGTCTCCTAAATATCTCGGCGAGAGGACGAGCGGAGCCACCTCAACCACGAATAGAAACCCAATCTTTCGGAATCCTTTCCAATTAGAATCCTGTTTAAACGAGAGACACCGTACATCTGTATATAACGAAAAACCAACGACTTCTGCAAACGTTAAATTCGAGAGGAAGAAGAACAAAAGGAAAAGAAAAGTAAGAAACTTGTACAAAAATCAAAATCTCCGTCCTCTAACCCAATCTAATCGAAATTGAAAACTTCGTTTTATAAATCACGCGGAAAAAAATACTCGGATAAATAACAGTTTCGATAGTATCGATAAAATGATTTCAAGTTACACGACTCCGGTCGCGAGTAAAAAAAAAAAAATCGAAAATTGAAAAGAGGCGGCCGAAGAAGGGAGAAGAAGAAGAGAGCGGAAACGGAGAGAAGGGAAGAGGGATAGAGAGAGAGAGAATTGGCGATCGAGACACGCTCATTAGTCGAAGATGTCCCGAGGGTAGGCGGGAGGCTTCGTCGAATTCGTAGGCGATGGATCACTCGATAGTCGAGTCGAGACTTAAGCGATCGTAATGCGCGGCCGTGTGGGATAGGCTGGATCGGGAGTGGCCCCGGGAAAGGGGGGGCCTTTATATCGGTGAACTCTCGATGGTTGAAGCAAGGCTCGTTTCTACCTCACCTTGTTCGCCGATCGTGCCGATTCCCCTCCGCCGCCGAGCTTTTATAATGGTCCCGGCCAAACGTATTTATCGTGATTTATTGTTTACACGGGTCTCCTTTCTCCTCGGCTACCTCCGTCCTCTTCCGTCCCGCGTGCATCGCCTCTCTTTCAACGGGTCCCGCGCTAGAGATAGAGGATGCACACCGTGCGATTACGTCCGATGTAAATTATTGATCGTCCACGGGGGAACATTAATATCTAAAACAAATAATGGACCGTTACACCCTGAACCCTTTTGAGCACTGCGCGCCATCTTTTTTTCTTCTCTCTCTCTCTCTCTCTCTTTACTTTTTCTTCGAGTCCAACTATCCATTGCATCCGAGTGCATCAGTCTTGTTCTTGTTGTTGCTTTCTTCTTTCAATGATTTTTATCGATCTTGTATTTCTTTTGTCTTTTTTCTTCGAAATTGATTGACCGTGCGGTTCGGGAGTTCAGTTCGAGCAATTAGACGGGGTAATTAAAGGTAAGGAGGGAAGTTTCTGTTCGATCTGAAGGTACGTTTCGAACGGTGTGCAACAGGATTTTATCTAAATTATTCAATCGAAATTCAGGGAGAGTCGGCGAAGGATACGATTGTGTGCGCTTAAAATTCTACTTTTACACGGTTATTACGTCTATTTACCGTGTTTGTACAGCGATGCGCGGCTCGCGTGTGCTCCGCTGGAAAGAGGAGGCAGCTCGGTAATTGCCGTACTTTCAGGCACGCACTCTCGTTATGCCATACCTTCTCCTCTGTTTTTGCTCGAATATAACTTTTTACAGATATAACAATTTGGAAAATATAGAAATCATACTGTTTCAAATCGTTCTCTTGGAAAGATCGTACGTGTGCTTTCTATAGAAATTTATTTATTAAATTACGTTTACAATTCGCAATTATAACTCTCGATAATCAACACGTTCGTCTCATCCAACGAAGATATTTCAAAATCTTCCAAAGATACCTCATTGAACGCATCAACACTCTGTACAGAACAGCCCCCCCCCCCCACTAAATATATATATCGCAAAACTTTTTTCTCTGTTATTCGTCACGAAAACCGGAAGGAAGGGTATGGCGCCTAAGCTAAAGCTCGACGAGGCTGCGCCGCACGGTGATTGCAGTCGCACGCTGCGAGTATCCCCCGTGGGGATACTTGCGCGATACACGGGGCACGAAACAGTAGAGGAAAGGGAGGGGACAGACCCACCTGACAGGTGGTCCGTCCGTGCGCGTTGCTCATTGGCAAGTGAGATGCCATTAACGGGAGTACAATATCGGGAAAAATTCGAGGAAGAAACCCATCGGATCGTTTATCAGTGTACGCGTTGTAGCTGCGGTCATATATCATGCACCGGGGGAAAAGATTTCTCGATTTATGGACAGGGAATATACCGTGGATAGGAAAAATCGTTCTTGATGGCGAGGATGGAGAACGTGGTTTGACGAGGATTGAGGAATCCTTGAGGAGTTAATGGTTTTATAGGTGTCCGTGTCCGGGATCGAAGATATTAATTGTTCGTCTAATTTATGGATATATGGGAAAATGCTGCGAGTTCGAATTATCGAGAGGCATGCAGCCGACGTTTATTGTCGGCAAGCGAGGGCCGGGATTGAAGGAGGTTTCGCGTCCATCGATGAGGTTTTTCATCCATTGTCAGGTGAAATTGATCGTTGCTCGAAACTATGAGACTTTGTGTGATTTACGTGACGTGTGGATGGAAGGGATATTGTTCCCTGTGAACGTTCTGTTCTTAGAGGTGAATACGAGATACTCGTGTGTATCATTTGGATTAGATAAAAAAAAAATGTTAAAGACCGTAAAATCCGCTATGAATCTATCGGATTTTTATTCGCGAGAATGTTAAATATTCTGCATCATCTTGTTGTGCAGAATATACGAATGTTTATGTACGCAAGAATTCTGGAATTCGCCAGTTTCGCTATATCTTCTTTTTTTTTTTTTTGTTTTTGCGTAAAACAAAATTGATTGTTAATTAAACGTGCAGGTTAGTGCGGCTATGGAAAATACGACAGTTTACGACAGCCGTCTCGAGTGGAAAATTGGCGAAGAGAATGCACGCATAATCCAACCGACGTACTTATTAGGAAATTCCAAGAGTCTCGCAGTTGTAAAAATCTTTTCTTTTCTTTTCCTTTTTTTTTTTTTATCTT